GCTTCCACGTATATGCTCTCCGCCTCTATCAAACCCCTATGGACATTGATAATTGGTTTTTTACCCTTCTATCTGGCAACAAAATTGACACCTTGTTTTTTAAAAGGAGTCATGTTCACATAGACCACATTACCTGCAGTCATAATGCAAACAAAAAATATAACTCTGATAATGTGCACTGTTTGCATTATGACTGCAGGTATTGTGGTCTATGTAAACATGACTCCTTGTAAAAACAAGGTGTCAGTTTTGTTGCCAAATAGAAGGGTAAAAAACCAATTATCATATTTTCCCTGGCAAATGAGGTTCCAATGGTGCCAATGGACATTGTTGTAAAGTGTGGTCAAACGACCTCCGTGACCAACACGGCGTGGGGAAGCCCTCATCCAGCAGTGGATTGACACGAGGGCTGGTCATGCACATGTAAATGCGTGCGCGTGCAAATGCATGCACGTGTAAATATATGCATAGCCAAACGCAAACAACCCGGTAATATATATAAAGGTGCAGCCATGCAATGACTTGCTCGTGCCACTGCTGGCGGATGGGCCTGCACTCGAAGGGGCCCTAGACAGCCCCTCTAGAAGATATTTCGCCTGGCCCCTCCACGCTGGCCAAACATCTTGGAATAGTTCTAGATTTGAAGCTTTCGTGACTGCAAGGATTCATATTCTTAGGTTTTTTCGGTAAAGTCACGTAGGTAAAACATTAAAATTAATAAAAGTAAAATAAAATAAAAATCACGACGTTTCGGAGGCAACACAAGCTTCCGTCTTCAGCTGTCGTGGCTGTGACGGTTCCACCCGAAGACGGAAGCTTGTGTTGCCTCCGAAACGTCGTGATTTTTATTTTACTTTTATTAATTTGAATGTTTTACCTACGTGACTTTACCGAAAAAAACTAAGAATATCTTGGAATAGGTAGGGAGAATCCACACTCACCCCACCGCACACGACCTTCCGATTGACTGTGGCGCTACAAATGTAATTACGAATGAACGCGGTGCCTGTTTATGCTGTTGGGTGGACAGACGTATGGGTAGGGGGGGGGTGGGGTAAGAAACGTACACCATTGTTTCCCACTGTAATTGTTTCAACTGTCGCGCCAGAAGCTGGAATCCAACCGGCACCATCGGGATTGCGGTGCGAACAATGACAAAATCTCCTCCCCCACCCTCACAGTATATATATACAATACACTTGTGCCACTGGTGGCGAGATGTTAACTACTTTGCCTGGTATACAGGAGGTCGTGGGTTTCGATCCAGACCCTGGCGCCTGTATATTTGGAGTTTGCGTGTTCTCCCCGTGGTCCCGTGGATTTTCCCCTCCACATTCAGAAATGTCCGTTTAGAGTATTTGGCTGCTGTAAATCTCCACATGATAAGCCACTTCGTTTAGCTATCATTTGCGGCCAGGTCGCTTATGGAAAAGAGCTACATAGCTCAGTCGGGGACTTACCTGGTAAAATAAACATATATAAAACATATAAACAATATTCCCCCACGGCCAAATCCAGAATTATGGTACAGGAAAGAGTGATGACAATAAAACAACGGTTACGCATAACTGCAAAAGCGGGGGCCTTCATTCATCTTCGGTTTAACTGTAGTTTAATGGGGCATTACACGCTGACGCAGCACGCGGTAATATCAATTTGGTGTCACATAACGGCATCGTACAGCCCAATTTTCCTCCAATTAAATTGGAGCGAGAGGAGTTGTAAATCCAGGCGCACATCTTTGCACGCACAGCAGTAGCCTCTCTCGCGAGTGCGCGTTTGGCACTGTGGGTGCCTCTCGCTCACTCTACTTACTTAGCATCGACCGAACAGAATGTAAATCTCCATCGAGCACAGAACATTGTGGTGGGAGGTGGTGGGAGGTGGTGGGGGGGGGGAACGGCGACTTGCAAAATTTGCATCCCGAGTCGTGTCAGCAAACCATTGGCAACAACGGAAGCAGCTCAAACTACACTTTGTAAGTCTGGGGGTCCGACTAGCGAATTAACGGTTTCCGGTTATCATTTGTTAGATTACGAATGCACAATCACCCGCCGTTTGCTAATGCTATAATGAATAACTGTTGCCATGCTATGCGTAGGACTGACAACCCCCTATTGAACGCGCGTGTCACTAAACAGAACGACTATGATATGATTGTTATAATTGTATTATAATTATTAGGTGAAGTTGTAGAGTTGTGGCGGTGGTGCACACATACAAACAAAAACGTCGCATTCGTCAATAACACTGTGGCCTTAAAACAACACACATATACAACAGGGGATGTTTTGGACAATAACCCTTGGTCATATTTCGACGTATTGCCTAGTAAGAAGGGCTATTGTCCAAAACGTTGACAAACATGTTTGTTTTTCCTTTTAAGACCGCTGTGTGTCATTGACGAAAGTGTCGAGTTTTCTGTCATAACTAAAGGTTCTTCCATCAGCGTGATAAAAAAAAATGGAACTTGTTTTCAAGAGCAGATTACGCCAGGCACAATACCCGGTTCACGTGTGCGAGGAAGGCCACGGATGACACGGATGGATAACACCAAAGCATGGACGAGGCTCACGCTGGAACACACAATGAGGATAGCAGAAGGCAGAATAAGTTAGTAGCAAAGGATTGCCCATGGTGCGGCCAACGCTCGGATCGAGGATGGCTGAAGACGACACGAGGCCATCAGCGTAATCACCCTTTGCGCGTGGGCGTCTCTTGGCAATATCTCGACTCCGGGAACGGCACGCGCGCGCGTGCGCAGCAGAGAGCTGGCACGTGTTGTCGTCTCATCTCGGGGACGAGCGCGCATGACGGATGGCACGCGCGTGCGTTGTGAGTGTGTGAGCGTGTTTATGCCGTGTCGGTTTTTTTTTTAAACAGATAATAAACACAGACCAATAGCCAAAGAGAAATAACAACAGCAAAAAAATCACAATAGCATTGCCTTCAAGGGAAACGTATATACAATAGGCGACCTTTTAGGCAATATGCCTTCTTCATATGCTATGCAGAAGGGTCATAGCCCGATACGTCATATACTATGGAGTAGGACTATTACCAGAAACGTCGCCTATTATATACGTTCCCTTATAAGGCAGTGTTATTGACAAATGTGTAGAATGTAATGATTGTACAGTAGATGCGAATTGACACATTTCTTGAAATGGCCGTGGGTTGAAGGAACTGGCGAAATGAACCGATGGCATGGTGTTCGCTAGTCGAGCAGTGTGAGAAAGGGTTTAAAATAGATGTTGTCTGTTGCAGTGTGTTCATTAAACACAATAAGAAACAGAGGAAACAGTCAATCTGGAAAACCGAGTGCTCGACATGGGCGGGGGGTATTCCAGGCGTAAAGTGAATGAGAAGAATGACAGTGGGAGTAGAACTACAGCAGTGACAGTCGTGACAGATGACGTCCTATCATGAGACATCATTCACCGCCCATCCACATAGCGATCGAAATCAACAGCAATAGTACAACGTTGTACCCGTGGCACCACACCATGAGAAGGGAGTAGAGGAAATTGCGCATAAAGGCAACGGACATACGGACAAGACGAACGAGACAGGGAAGGGGGTGCCGGGACGGGAGTTCCCCAAAAGAAAGGAGGGCACGGCTCAAGATGAGCAGCAAGAAGAGAGGAGGAGGAGAACCACCAGGGAGGAAGGGAATGAGGGGGGGAAGGAATGACCGAAGCATAGGATGTCGTGGATGAGAGCGGAGAGAAGAAATGGTAGAAGAAAGGAAAGAGAATAAGTTAGCTGCCCTGAGCAGCACCTGTTTTCACAGGGGGCGGGGAGAAGTGAGGTATTTACATTGGGGAGTGCCCACAGAAAACATTACGTGATTCCAGGGAGGCTGTAGCTGATTTAGATATATAATTTATAGTGGAGCACATGAGTGCTCCAGCGCTTTCGAAGCAAGGGTTGCTGGATCACGTAGAGATTTGTGAAGCTTGCAAACCCACTGGGCTGTGAGGTATCCAGCAGATGGCAACTGCGAGTGGGTTCATACATTTCGCTATTGACGATTCCAATGGTTATGCCCTCGTGTACAAGTTGTGGTTTGTCTGGGTGCAGTACTCCGGCTTCTTACGACAGGAAGCAAAACCCAAATTAAAACGTACTAAGCCAAACATTCCAATGCAGGACCCTCCTGAGCAAGAGTACCGCGACTCGGCACACAAAGGTTGAGATCGTTTAGACTTCAGAGACTGTTAGGTTCGGTGTTGTTGGCGAGGAACTATTGAGGCCTTCACAGCCAACGAAAATCCATAACCACGCCGAACCGGTTATTTCTTACAATTACTGTACTCGTTTCAGGCTCAGTCGACCTAGGGGAGGACTAGACCACATGTATCACTTGCCACTGATGTGTTAAATCAAGGCCAAGGAAATGATTCAGGCTCGTCGGGATTGTCGTGCAGTGCATGAAACACATTGCGCCATCCATCCACGCGCCTACAGACGCACATACACTCACGCGCACTCACTTGCATACAAATGCATACACACACGCGTGTGTGAATTCTCACACTCACACACGCACACAAAGACAAAGATCCCCCCTGCAGCCTTGACAGACTGTCGGTGCAAGTGGTTTTAGTGAGCACCTATGAAGACCGGTAAGGCACACATACGAGTTCGTGGCCAGCACCACGCCCGGCCGCCTTTGTCTCCCTAGCGGCGATATTTACACATCGCACCGGGTTACTGTGCTCATTTGTGGCTGAGCCAACCTAGGGCAGGTCCAGAACCGGTTCAGATAATTATCCTCACTGTTATTGGTCGTGCACGTGAAATGTACTCGAGTTTGCCGGGCTCTTAGTGCTGCGTGCGCTACCGCTCCCCACACAAACACGCACACGCGGGGCTACTGGGGGTGGGGGGCTTGGAGTAGTAGTAGTATGGCGACGACGTCATACGCAGGGGGGTGGTGGAGTGGCGTCAGGAGGGGAGGGGGTGGCGGCGGCGTGGGGTGTGCGGTGGGAGGCAGTGGCGGTGGAGGAGGAGAGGAGTGAGGAGCGGACGATCAGGGTCTCACCAAGATGGACGTAACAGGAGTCACGGGAGGAGCGTACGGAGCCGGCATGGCAGGAGGAGTGTTTGACCCCGTCGGTCTCATGAAGCAACCTCAGACCATTATGAGAGTCGTCAACTGGGTGAGTGGCGACTCGAGGTGTGTGGCCTGTGTGAGAAAACGGCTTAAGCGTGGAAACGCATTAGCCCGCCTGTTTCGGACATACATACGTGTGTGCGTGTGTGTACGTAATTTTCTCTCCCATGGGTACAGAGAGGACATTGCCTCAACGCGAGCGGACACAACCAAGGTCGTGTGTCCACCAATGTAATCCACAGTCATAAACGCCGCAGTGCGAATTCATCAAAAGGGGGGTGACTGCCTTAACAGAAGCAAGCCTTGCGCGTGTCGAGCGAGGCAGCACCGGGGATAATCTGCGCGACGCGACCCATTGTTTCATAGCGGTACGGCAGGTGCGGTGGCGTTAACGATCCGATGCTGCGTTATCAATTGTGCCGTTAATGAGTACAATGTTGTCATCCCTCTGCTAAGTTCAACTATAGACGATGTGACCGTGTCGGCTCTGTATTTGCATCGGAAAATGAGACGCGTGGCAATATCTACACACAACAGCGTGCTTATTTTCGCGCAGCATGTAACCTCGTGTAAGAGCGATGCAATTAGACCGATTAAAACAGGGGGGGGGGGAGGGGACAACGGCAACTACATTGGCGTGGTGATGTAAGTGAATGGGTATTGCCGCTCTTGGGGATAGGCGTTATGAATGGAGAAGCCGGGTGGACACCGCAGGGCCTGTTTCAGCACCAAGGTCAGTTCCCGGGCGCCGTGCGCCAACCACCAGAGCGCCCCCTTCCTTTAATCGGCGGTATAATTCCCTCTCGGCCTGGTCGAACGCGTGCGTGCGCGCACGCTTATTTCTCAATCAGCGGGTGAAGCCATCGGGTTGGAGCGGTGGCGCAGTGGTTAGCGCATTGCGCTATGAAATGGGCAATCGCTAGCGTCAGTGGCGAGTGATATCTGAACCTTTTTTTTTATCTTCGGCTTTCCTCCTCCTTCTCCTCCTTCACCAAACCGCATCGCCCAGCATGGTGACGTAGAGTCACACAACCCCCAACGATCGACAAGGTGTGGGGAGGGGGGCATTCATCCAGCAGTGGGTTGACAAAAGGGGCTCCAAGTTGATACTTAAACGTCTATTTAAAAGCAAGACCTGGGTGACGAAGACTGGTGGATAAATTAATAAAGGACAACTGAACAGCAATGAAAGTTAAATACAAAACTTACGCATATAAAAAAAAATGCATTAAAACAACCAGAAACACGAAGACTGTTATGGTCTTGCCCGAGGCCTTATCATTTACTGTGGCGGGACGTGGGCGAGCAGTTTTATTAATAAAAGTCATGACAATAGCAGCAGCCGATAGCTGAATGTTGTCAAAAGAATTGGAGGTCGTGTGAATTGGTGCTCCGCCACATTACGTATTCATGCAGCTATTCGCAACGTGGGTATGAATCATCTCCCTCGATTTACCACTCGTGATTCACGTTCCCGATTAGATTCAATAATCGATCAAGTGTGTCTCTTCTTACCGCATCGTTTGTTGCATATTTTTCTCGTTCGGCATTTTTCCGCAAGATTCTGTTCACTCCGTGAGCCCAAGCGTGACAGCGTGTAAACAGCACTGCCAACGAATCGATCTCTACACGCACCATTTGACCGATTGTGTACGCATGGAGAGGTTAGGAGTCGGTTTCGATTGAATAAAAGCATCCTTACATAAATATTGCAAAGTGGGCTTCGTGCCCACAGGTCTGCCCAATGTGTATTAATTATAATTCGACTCGTCACCCTAAATGCGTCCAAATCTCACCAGATATTGGAACATGAACCTGCATAGTGCTTTGATGGCTGAGCAGTTTCCAAATAATCATGTGTTATGTCGGCTGCTGCGGGGATACGTTTATTAGCAGAGGGCAGTCCAGCAAATGCAGTGGTTGTACTGCACCGTCTATGCTACCACCAGGGTGGTGGAGTATGACAAAATAATTGTCATTACCAGGACGGTATGGGGAAGCTTTTGTCCAGCAGTGACTTAACAAAAGGGATGGTACATGTACAGAGAATTGTGATTCCAAATAGGTGTACGAGTGAAACGGTGATGATGACAATGCTGGGCCGTGAATGTATTTTAATATTTTAAAAAATCACGTGACTTCACATCGCACGGGAGGTGCAGACGGGTCTCCCTCCTCCCCATCATGCACGAGAGAGCATTGCCTGGCCTAGACCAACAATGGACACTAAATTAAGGCTGGTGATAAAAGAGAGACAGTGTCACAGGGAACACGCAGCAAGCAAGCTCCGGAAATCACAACACCGGGACATGGAGTGAGCGCCGGGTGGACTGGAGCGATCGTTGAACGCATATAAGCAGCTGGGACGAATCCAAGTCGAGAGCAAGGAGGGTCTGGGGGGGGGGCGGTTGAGCTTAAACACCCCCTACGAAAACTTGGTACACGCCTACTTTAATACAGGCTGCTGCTGAGCGTACAGATGAGACAGCATTGATTGCAGAGGGACAAAGACTGCATCACCGAACAGCAGGCGACACCAACGGGGCTCGCTTCTTCTGGGATCTCAGAAGGCGCGTGGCCGCGTGGAGGTGGATGAGGATAGGAAAATGAGTGGAGGGATTACTTAAAACAAAAAATCTGAGACTCCCTATTGCCAATAGAGCTATGAGCGCCGTCTTTGTGAAGCAGAGAATCACAGCGACTCGAGTGAAAGACTATAAACAAATACAATTAATATTTACTACGACGGAAGCACCGTGAATACTTGCGATCGCGGACTGATGTCTGATGCCAAGCAGGCTGAAGCCCGGTTCGCGCTTGGATGGGTGACCACCATGGGTGACCACCATGCGTATGAGCCGCTGTTGGCATGCGGCTGCAAGGTGTATCAGTAAGATAAAATGGCACTCCAAGCAATGGACTCGGTCGACGTCGATGAATTTGTTCTGTCGGTGGTGGATTGGATAAATTTGCATACACAGCTTTGAGTGCCCCCCCCCCCCCCCCTCGTGTGCGGGGTTTTTCTCTGGCCACACCAGTTTCCTTCCACATGAAGTCCAACGCACAGTACATGGAATTGACCCAACATCCAAATATGAATATTCAGGGTCAATGCAACGAAACTGGGCGAATACAGGGAATTATAATTATTATTTACGTAACGTAATGGTAATTCATCAACATAAAGCATCATGTTAAATATATTGTTTTGTACGAAGGTGCTCATACACACTCACGGCGTGTAAAGCTTTCCGCTTTCACAGGGAGTCATATGCAGGAATGTCATTGGCACTCAAATTTCCCAAAAACATTGCCAGCCACTCGCAAGCAAATTACACGTTACCTCCTTGGAAATCAGATACGCTGGACCACACATACAAAGATCCCCCGTATAGTCATACTCTTTGGTTCTTTCGGTAAAGTCACGTAGGTGAAAATAAAATTGAAATAAATATAACTATATTTTGCTGGGGTTGTTCCACCTGATGACGGAAGCTTGTGTTGCCTCCGAAACGTCGTGATTTAGTTATTTTTTATTTTATTTTCATCTACGTGACTTTACCGAAAGAACCAACTGAGTATGGATCCTTGCATGTCACGAAAACTTCAAATCTAGAATCCCCCGTATAGCCTTAACAGACTGTAGGGGCAAGTGCTGTTAGCGAGCACTTATGGAGGTCAGAACGGTACATGAGAGGTGGGTTGCCAGCACCACGCCCGACCGCCTTTGTCTCCCCAGTGGAGATGTTTACACATCGCACCAGATACTCATTTGAGGCTGACTCGACCTAGGGGAGGGCCTAGGACCAGTTCAGATAATCGTCACCGGTGTTGGCCGTGAGCGGGAATCGAACCCGGGTATAGCGCACTAACCTCTACACTACCGCTCCCCACAAATACTAGTACACACATAAATATATACATACATACATATTTTAGATATATATTTAGATATATATTTTAGATCCATATTAGTGTAGATGTATATTTCATATCAACACATTTCTTCCTGCCCTACTATTCGGTATGTAATATGAATGATCCATTTATGTATATTTCCCAACAAATAGGAAAAAATTGTAGAAAGCACCATTTCGTTTGAAGCCTCTTGTCCATCTCACACCAATCTCAAGACTCTTATAAAATCAATACACGTATTAAATCGATACACTTATTAAATCCACCGTTTCTCTCTCAAGACAGAACCACCGCTCTCAAAATATTTAATCATTTGGTGAGAAAAGTCAGAAAGCCGTGGGGTATCTGCATATGGATCAACCTGTGGTTTGCCAGTTACGAGTGAGTGACGGATGAAAAGTTAAATAATGTTCAGGAAGGGCTCGAGCTAGAATGTGGTACAAATAGTGAAGTATACGGTCATAGGTAGCAAAATCTCCAAACCAAAATGGTTGAACGAGCCTCTGGAATTCACCACCCCGGATGTTAATTGGTTTCTCCCACAGACGAGAGGTGTAAATTAGTTTCGCATCTCGTGCCAAACTTACAACTATACACATGATCCTCCACCATCAGTGAACCAATTAATTCGTCTGTGGAATGTGACAAACCCAATGGAAAGTGTACAGGGTCCTCTACCGGTTGCGAATATTTAACAACAACTTAGACAGTGGTTAGCACACCGCGCTACAAACCCAACTAACGGAGTTAGATTACCAGCCACAGCTTGGGGAGGTTTAGAGGCCCTCTCGAATGTGATTTGTTATTTTCTTCTCAACTAGTCACACATCTCTGACGAAGTGGGAGTGTAGCCCACACGTTAACCCACCACACGCGACCTGGCAATCGACTGTGGCGTTCCCGATTTGTCAGATGTGGGCTGGAGACTGATACACTCGTTCAATTGTTTCAACTACCGCACCGGGAGATCGAATCGAGCCCCTCTGGATTATACGTCGAGTGTGCTAAGCATCACACCACGGAAGCGCGACCCTGTGACCTTGATGAAAGCCTTATTTCTCTGCACAGTCCCTCTGAAATACAATCCATCATCATCATCATCGATGTCCCAGAGGCTCTACCAGGGGTGGGGAGCCTTTTTTCTGCCAAGAGCCATTGGATATATATAACATCATTCGCTGGCCATACAAAATGATCAACTTAAAAATTAGCCTGTTATATTTGGTCAAACATTTAATTAACTCGCCCTTAATGCGATGGCTGGAACTGCTTCTCTTTGGCGAGGCGTGTGATGTTAGCTGGTATTGATGATGTTGCTACTCGCAACTGCTTTTCCAGCTTTGCTCCTAGATTTATTGAATTTCGAGTCCTGCCTGCGGTTGCCTTGGCAGGGCCACACTCAATGATTTCGCGCGCCTTATACGTCCCGCGGGTCGGACGTTCCCCAGCCCTGTGACTAATCCATGTCTGGAAGAGTTCCGTCTCGTTCCTCAAACCACTCAGAGTTCACAGCTCGCGTCCCCGCGAGTGGCTCTTGATCTTGTCTTAGTTCATGAAGCGTGTCTTCGCCAGGCAAAAGTTTTAAAAATCATAATTAACCTGATATTTTCTTTTATATCTACGATCAAAAACTAACAATTACTCGAAACATTTGTATTTTTACGCAAAAAACTAAAATAGTTGACTGACTTGATTAAACTTCTAATATTTGAAGAGGCACCCATCAGAAACCGCTCAATTTAAAGATTACGTTCTTCTTTATATAAAAAAGGGAATAGCAAAAGTGATTGAACTTAATACTCTATGAGTGGAAGCTCCTATCTTTTACCGTTTTCGAACTATTCAGATTTGAACATCAAAAAATTTGTATTTTTTTCGTTCAAAACCGCTTGAATCCGAAATATCTCAAAAACAATAAAAGATAGAACAATGGTTCTCGCTTTACTATTATTTTCTGTTTAACGCTCTATCAAACGATGAAAACCGCAATCTTATATTGTGAACAGTTTCTGAATGACACGCACAAACATGTTCATGGGGAACTTAAAATCGAGATTTCGGGGCCTTAAAATAAATACAAAATCCCGGATTTTCTTATTTTTTTCTGTTGCGCCCTAAAAGCAACATATGTACCAAATGACAGCTTTCCACCTTATCGGGAAGTACCCTAGAGGTTTTCGAGACATACCGATGAAGATCTTCATTTCTATAGATATGTGGAAGATAGTCGGGGCGATTTGAGACAACAGTAAAACATGCTGTTCTGAACTCTAATTCTATGAAATTGCAAATTCATCAGACGATATACTGTATTTAGAATCAATGTGCTTAGATTGTAGATGAGCTTTTATGGTGATTAAGGTAGTGGCGCGTTTTACGGTGGTGATGGTGAGGATTAGTGGTGGTGACGTGAGTGGGGAGTGGTGATTTTGGCAATGGTGGTCGTGTGCAATGGTGGTGCCGCTGATGGTGGTAGTAGTGATTTGTCCTGGGCCTCCTCTAGGTCGACTCAGCCTCAAATGAGTACCAAGTGTGGTGGTAAACATCGCTACTGGGGATACAAATGCGGCAGGGCTAGGTACTGGCCATCCACCCCCGCGTGTGCCGTGCCAACCTTCATAGGTCCTCACTAACGGCACTTGCCCCAACAGTCTCTGAAGGCTATACGTGACATATTTGTCTTGGTGGCGGCAGTAGTTCCGATTGTTAACGTGCGAAATCCCATTTGAGGCCCCGCCAAGGGCAAATAGCGCGCCACCTGCCAGCCGATGTGCGCTCCAACTCCGTGTTGAACATCTGCGATGAAACCAAGTTGAGAAAAACCATGCATATGCATGCAATGCCTTCCACAATTTGTTTAAGTAGTAGTATGGAAACAGACGGATAGATCTCAGGGCGAAATGTATTTTCATATTAGCAAATGTTTTTTTCCCCTATTAGTTTGTGTTTTCGAGGTTTGGGAACCCCTTTGATCAATTTGGCTGGTCTTCAATAGAGCAAAAGCCTACCTGCAGCACAACTTTACATTACAGGTTCATTCAAATTGGATAATCTTTAAGGGCGTCATGATTACCTTTACGGACAGGCTTAGTTGGAGAACGTTAAAAACACCCAACCTCTATATCGGTCCCCTTGCCCCCTGCGTGCAGGTCTTCTCGGTCATCGTGTTCGGCTGCATCTCCAACGAGGGCTACGTGAGCACCAACTCGTCGCCCGACCTCTACTGCGTCTTCAACCGCAACGGCAATGCTTGCCGCTTCGGCATCGCCATCGGCGCCATTGCCTTCCTCGCCAGCTCCGCCCTGCTGCTGCTCGACCTCTACTTCCCGCAGATCAGCAGCGTCAAGGACCGCCGCAAAGTCGTCATCTTCGACATGGCCTTCTCCGGTCAGTGATGCCGCTTCCTCCAACTGTAGCACCGAGCCATTGCCGGGGTCATGCCGGGGCCATGCCGGGGTCATGTCGAGGTCATGCTGGGGTCATGCCGAGGTCATGCCGGGGTCATGCCGGGGCCGTTCCGGGGACATGCCGAGGTCATGTCGAGGTCATGTCGAGGTCATGCCGAGGTCATGCCTGGGCAATGCCATGACCATGACAGGCCAGTCCAGCACGGCCCAGGGGAGGCGCCATGTTGTTTTTCCCACCTGCAGAAGCCAAGCCATAATGTGGACGCCACGCGCAGTAAACGAGTCGAGACGCACGTTTACAACGCCGCGTCCTTACAGTCTACCGACTGAGTTACACAATTATTGCATTTTTCACCCCATACCTTGACCCATTTGAGCCAGAGTCAGGTTCAGTGAGGTGTGCCCAACTCGGCTTGACAAACAGCCAATGGAAAACGACCCGTACCGTAATGGTTCCGCATTGGCTCGACTGTGCCCGTGCGAAAGAGACATGACTGTGACAATTTCGAGCAACAATTCCTCCAAAATTTCCCCGAGCGCGTCGTGGCCGTAGCACCGTGGCCTGAGCGCCTTCTTCTCTCGTGTGGCCGCTGTAGATGCCGAGCAACAACTACAATTTCACATCCAGGTGCTAAAAGCCAGGAGTCGTGGAGTGCATCGCCGTGATGCCTCCTTCGTATTTGTGGATCGGGCATAGCGTCCTTACACGTCGTATTGGCTGTTCTAGATGACTACAGTCGCACAATGGAGAGTTTGAAATGTTCCATTTGTGCATCAGGCATCCGCATCTGCCATGGTTTGTGCGGATGCGGTTTAGGGTGGACCACGAGCTTCATTGACGATCACACCCAGTGACCCTCCGCGTTGGGTCTGCCTGAGTGCCATGGCCTTGGCAGTGACAGTCAGTGACAGTCAGTGCCAACTGAGGACGGGGAACGGTGGATGGGTGGGAAGGGGAATTGTATCTGCGTGCCTCTGTCCTCGCAGCCGCGTGGTCGTTCCTGTGGTTCGTCTGCTTCTGCTTCCTGACCAACCAGTGGCAGAACACCTCGACGGACGTCGCTCCCTCCTACTCTCACGACAGCGCTCGTGCCGCCATCACCTTCTCCTTCTTCTCCATCATCTCCTGGGTAAGCATCGGCGCCGAGCTCCGGTCGCAGCGCCGATCATCTCAAATCGATTTGCCGTCTGGACCTCCGGTGCGTCGCGCTGTCGGGTCGGGCCCGCGCGGCGCTGTTCCGCACGGTCGGACGTTTCCCTTTCGCTCCGCGTGCTCGGAGCTTCCCGGGTTCCGTAAGAGCTCGACTCGCGTTGGGAGCACGAGCCGCATGCTGGGCGAGCTTCTTCGGGGATCCGAATCGATTCGGCTCGATTCCTGAACAAGAAGGTCCCGGCACGTGAAGATGATTTGTCAGACGTCATGCCGAGCAATATTGGAAAACGCATCTGGGCGCTGTTCAGCACACACCAATGCGGTTGTGTTTTTCAATCCATCTTCCGGTCTCGCAAGGGGCAGCCCCGACCAATTGGGCAGCTGTTTGTAGGGCAGCTCATCGTATGTACGTCTTCTGTCTGAAAGCTGACCTCTCTTTTTAATTGAAAGGGGTAGCTTATTTTTTTTTTCACGAATGTCATGTTTACCTTTGCCTATTCAGCGTAAAAAAATTGCAGTGGTCTTTGGGCTAAATATAGCGGACAGAAATCAATAGGTGCTTAAAGAACACATGACCCGTCCACCAGTTCTGTAGGTCAGCGTGCACCCACATGGATTGGCCACGGCAACAAATATTATTGCCGTGGCGTGCATTACCATTTATATATTTACTAGCTGTACTACCCGGCTTCGCCCGGGACTTGGATCCACCACGCCCGGCCGCCTTTGTCTCCCAAGTGCCGATGTTAATACGCCACACCAGTTACTCGTTTGAGGCTGAGTCGACCTAGGGGAGGTTCAAATAATCGTCACCGGTGGTGGCCGTGAGCGGGAATCGAACTCGGTTCGCCGGGTTGGTAGCGCAGCGTAGCGTTAAGCACTACACCCACCGCTCCTCACACACCACACACGCACAGACACACAGACACACGCAGACACACACAGACAGACACAGACAGACACACACACACACAGACACACAGACAGCACGCTAAGCACTACACTACCGCTCCCCACACACCACACACGCACACACACAGATACACACACAGACACACACACAGACAGCACGCTAAGCACTACACTACCGTTCCCCCTACACAACACACGCGCGCGCGTCCATAGGTACACATACACGCGCTTGCTGCAGACACACACGACTTTCAGGGTGCGTAAGGCAGTAAACGACTGAAATAATAAAGCGGCAATGCTGTGCGAGGAACGCCTTAGACCAGCAACACATTTGTGTAATGCGAGCGTAAACACACAAACACATACAAACACATACACACACATACATACACACACATACACACAAACACATACACACACATACACACACATACAAACACACAGACATACACATACACACAAACACACACATACATGCACACAAACACATACACAATACACACACACATACATGCAGACACACAGACAGACACGTAACACACATACATACACACACATACATACACAGAAACACATACACACACATACATAGACACACACATACATACACACAAACACATGCACACACGTACATACACACATACATAGAGACACGCAGACATACACATAAAGACATAAAAAAAATCCACATACATACACACACACATACACACAAACACATACATACACATACATACACACATACATAGAGACACACAGACATACACATAAACACAAACACACATACACATGAGCCGGCTTCGCCCGGGACTTGGATCCACGATGCCCCGCCGCCTTTGTCTCCCCAGTGACGATGTTCACACACGACAGCAGTTACGCTTTTGAGGCTGAGTGGACCTAGGGGAGGGCCAGGTCCGTTTCAAATAATCGTCAGCGGTGGTGGGCGTGAGTTGGAATCGAACTGGGGTCGCTCAAGCAGCTTAATGACTGTTTGTACAAAGAACATATAAAGAATCGATTATAATAACCAGGCAAGAGTCCACATTATAGACTGCCAGTACACGCACTCAGCTTCATAAGCAGGCTAGAGTGTACATGATAGAGTGGCAGTACGCTCACCGAGCTTAATAAGCAGGCTACAGTGTACATGATAGACTGGCAGTACGCTCACCCAGCTTAATGAGTATTTGTACAGTGAACATTAAAGTAATCGATTGTTGGCGCGTTGGGTTTAAAAGTAATATTAATAGCACACATTGTGGTGGGGGTGTAGTGAAGAGTAGGAAAAACTTTGATGAATTTACCTCAGAGTGGCGTGGTGGGTGTCGAGGCCTAGTAGCGTGCAAAGCCTGCGGCCTCGCCTAAAATTGTCGGCTTGGAAGAGGCAGGGTACGGGTGGCGTTCCTTCCCCCCCCCCTAGCGCTCCAACAATACTGTGTAATGGCTATTATTTAATTAAATACGGAGCTTATGAAAGTGGCGAAGGCGTGGCTAGCCGTTGGCAGGGGCAACCGCCGTCCAATGAAACTGCAGCCCTTGGCGAAGGCGTGGCTAGCCGTTGCCAGGTCCAATGAAAGCGGCGAAGGCGTGGCTAGCCGTTGCCAGGGGCAACCGCCGTCCAATGAAAGTGCGTATGGGCCAAAGTCCACACACACACACAGACAGACAGACATGAACGATTTTATATATATAGATTTCCATCACGATTGCCGAGCACAACCCTAACATGCTGAGCGGCCAGCAACAAACAGCACCGATGAAGTTGTAACAGATGAGGGTTGCTGCGTGACGGTCGCTTTTCATTTAATTCACAATTTCTTAACACCACCACGAACACAACCAGGCTTCACATCCTCCACGTGACCCGGCACCTGCACACAATAGTCCTCTGTGGGCAATGTGAGAAGGTCTTGGGGATTAAAAAAAAACAGACGATGGTGGGAGGGACTTCCAACGTCGAACAGTCCCGGAGGCAGTCGTGGTAAGCGAGGTGTTGTCACGGCGGTGCGGTGAGTGAACACATTGTGGAGGCAGGGCAAGTGACGGCGCGAAACCTGCGCACACCACCGCAAGGCAGCCGCCAGCAGCCCACGCCGCTGGCCACTTCTACCACAGTATTGTCGTTCGATGAAATATATACGAGCCAGGCCTGTGACCAATTTCACCCGCAAAGTGCCAGATCGTCAAATCTCGCAAGCGAAGCCGTTTGGAGCTTGGACAGTACTTAGATGGGGTGACCCCTGAACATAGGCTGCTGTTGAGCTACATTGACAGCAGCAGAAGGCTGTGCAGGTTAATCCATTGTTTTACTGTATGTCTATGTTCCCACGTCCATGCTACCTGCCTTCAGCAGCCCTCATTAACCACCGTGGTACAGTACGACAGTGGATATTGTTGACTAACTATAATTCACCACGTGTGTTCGTCAGCGCAGGTTGGTGATGGTGGTAAGGATGTGGCATTTTAACCTGTGATAACCCCTCCACTCCCCTGACATTTCCATCACGTACACGCTACCCAACCAACCCACCACACAAACCCACCTACAACACCACGCTACCCAACCAACCCAACCACACAAACCCACCTACAACACCACGCTACCCAACCAACCCACCACACAAACCCACCTACAACACCACGCTACCCAACCAACCCACCACACAAACCCACCTACAACACCACGCTACCCAACCAACCCAACCACACAAACCCACCTACAACACCACGCTACCCAACCAACCCACCACACAAACCCACCTACAACACCACGCTACCCATCCAACCCAACCACACAAACCCACCTACAACACCACGCTACCCAACCAACCCAACCACACAAACCCACCTACAACACCACGCTACCCATCCAACCCACCACACAAACCCACCTACACCACCACGAATACCCATCCAACCCACACAATCCCACCTACACCACCACGAATATCCATCCAACCCACACAATCCCACCTACACCACACGACCCGCTCACGCTGAAGGCCGCGAGCATCTTCTTCGCCTTCAAGAGGTACAAGCTGGGCGTGGACTCCACCCTCTCCGAGGGCTACGTGGACCCGGCCTTGACCGAGGGGCAGGGCGGCGGCGGCGGTGGTGCCGCGTTTGGCAACGAGGGCCCTCAACCCGGCACCGGCGGAGACTTCTATCAGCGCTCGCCCTCCTTCCCAGACGGCCACGGCATCGACCAGACCGCCGATGGGTACCAGACCCAGTACTAACCCCCCCCCGCCTCCCTTCCTGGTACCACGAGGGAGACCAACCGTGCCGTGTTGAAAGGAAGGTGCGATCCCCCTGAGCAAAAAGAGCTCTTATCTTGTAGGTGCACGCTCGTGTGCACACGCAGGCTGTGTGTGTGTTTGGGGCTGTCCTGGCAATGGTTTGAAAACAATCGTTCGTGTGATTCAAAAGGTATCGCACCTAGGATACGGAGCAAGAGCAGACACACCGAGAAAATATTTCCAATCTGATCAGTGTGTTCATTAATTGACATGTGCTTTATTGCCGAAGTAGGAACGTTAAATGGGGGGGGGGAATAAACATAAATTGATGAGTTTCAAGTTGTGGCTGTGTAGGCGATTATAGCACTCTGGCATTGTCGATGCATTGCCGTGATGGGGATTTTATCATCACTGGGAGGAAAGAAGGACGTGGTCACTTTGGCAAAACGGCTCATCTTGAGGAAATACCGTGTATAACTTCACATCACGTAAAGCGCACCAAGTAACTTTCCTGATGTGGAGCATGACACATGCAACGCGAGATTAAGTTAAGCGATTCAGATTATAATGATGTTCTAAGGATGGCAAGGAAGAAAAATTTGGCACAAATGAAGTTACAATCCAAAGATTTAAAATGACAGATGTTGATCAGTTTCACTTACAGGGCAGGGCCATCCAAAAGTTTAAGTCACCTCCGGTGGGAATAAGACACTAAAGCCAATTTAAAGTACTCCTAGTTCTTTCGGTAAAGTCACGTAGGTAAAAATGAAATTAAAATTAATAACAACTAAAAATAAAATAATAAAATCACAAAAGAACTAAGAGTATGAATCTTTGCAGTCACGAAAGCTTCAAATCTAGAATCAATTTAAAGTAGGCAACGCTTGCTACTAGTTACTGACAGATTACATAAACCAAATGTTAGCGTTACGCGTTGTTTTACACGGAATGGAAATAATGGCTCAGTGGGTTTACCAGAGTGCCCATGGAGACATTCTCGTCTCTGCTTTCTCCTTGACAAACCTTTAAACTTGTGTTGGACAGTCCGGAACACACAGCCGATGTACTTGCAAGATAAAATATATTTGCCCGTTGTTGTGCATCTTCCTTTAAACGAGATATCTAACTTGTTGAATTAAAGTGGGTGTTTCACATGGGCACAGGTCAGATATGTCACTTGCCCAGTGGTACCGCCAGTGTTGGCACAATTTGGTTTACATGATCAATGCAAGTGAATTATGTGACAACCTTTTCACGCTGAGTGGGTTATTAAAATTATATTTTATTTTGCGTAAAAATAAAGTCCAAAACTATCCTCCAAAGTAGCATTGAAGGAACTAGAAATAGGAGGCAGCCAAGAAAGAATTGGGATTGAGAATGTGGCAGGCTGGAAGGGGGTTAAACCACAAGCAGCAAGGTGCCAACATGGTGTCCCGATTACAGTAATACCCCGCAATACGTCGGGGATGCGTTCCTGAAATGTGTGACGACGTATATCGAAACGACCTCAATCAAAGCGAGTTACCGGGTAGGTGGAGGCGAAGGCTGAGGCGACGGATACGAAAAAGTATGGATAATGCGACGCAAAATTGGGTTGCGGTGTTTATAAAGTGATTACGTATTTCGGGGTATTATTGTACATCATCGTTAGGTCGGTCATGAGAAACTGATAGATACAAAAAAAATGCCACTCAAATTGTGCCACCAAAAGTCGTACCATTATACGCTATGGCCCATAGAGTTTTGGGGCAGTTCACCCCTCCAGCCCTGAGTTTCCAAGTGATCATCGTTCCGTGTATTTTATTATATTTCACTCTCAAACTCTACGAAATAATTCAGTGTTGAGGGTCATTCTTCCTTTGTGGGATTGCTCCAGGCACTCCAGTTTCCACTCATTTTTTATTTTGTCCAAAAAATGTCCCAACTCGGCAACACTTTCCGAGATAATAATTAGGTTTACATTTCGATTTAAAGCTTTCGTGACTGCAGGGATTCATCTCCTTGGTTCTTTCGGTAAAGTCACGTAGAAAGGAAATAATAAAATAATAAAAATAAAACATAATAAAATAATTCTCACGACGAATGACGCTGTCTCCCCGACAGACCTGGTCTTCACCTGAGGACGGCTGCTTGCGTTGTGGCCGAAACGTTGTGAGAATTATTTTCTTATGTTTTATTTTTATTATTTTATTATTTCCCTTCTACGTGACTTTACCGAAAGAACCAAGAAGAATAATTAGGTTTGTTAACTGTTATTATTCTAGACTCCAAGGAGCAGTAGGGTTGATTGACAAGGCCCCTACGTTTCAGACCTTGCATCTAGTTTTCAAAATCAGTTGGTGAGTTCATGCCCCGAGCTGTATAAAACCAAAGCAGCCAACAACTAAGAGCGCTGATGATCAACACAGGAGATGACAACATACACGTTTCTCAAGTCGAGCAAGGTCATAGGAACTTGGAAAAATCCTCGATGTTGATGGAAGAGTTTCAAATGTTAAGCAGTGCGTGGAACAATAAGAGTTAGATACATGCTGAGTACCCGAATAGTGTCGTCAAACACCATATAAAACGATCAATTACATATGATACATTATTTGAAAATTATCGTTTTCATTTTTTTTAACAGGTTTATGTTACTTGTTAATTTGTGTAGCCCAACATCGCTCGACTCTTTAAGATCTTTTTAAATCTCAGCTTTGCTGTGCACCAGCGTGAGATTATTATGTAATTAACATTAATCGTAAATTATTCGCACGCACCTTTGTGTAGATATCTTTAAATCACGGAACGATGGGCCTGGAGTTTGAGAACTGCTCTGGTGGTATTGCGGGTATCGTACAAGGTGCATCCACGATGGCCAGAGAATGAGTGAATGCCTGTAAATCAGGCTCGGAGCGGGTGTGTGTGATCGTCATTGTTGTTGGTGTTATTTGTGGCCATTGATTTTAGTTTTTGTACATTAAGTTAGTATATCAATAAGTCACGTGTGGTCGGGTAAAAGATGGGTAACGCCCACCTCTTCCTTGATGTCTGACCAGCATGGAAGTGGAGGCAAAACATAAACCTCTACCAGGCGCTCTGTGGAGCTCCCTCGAGTGAAGGTCCTTCCGACAGCAGTGGCGTGAGCCAGTCATTGCAGGGCTGCGCCTTCGCCTGGAACATTAAGACTTGATTTTCCTGAGTGCATTCGCTCGCCCGTCCGTTATTAAATTAGCAAAGGGGACGACCTTCACGTATACTAGCGAAGTCGACGCGCATTACCCTGCTCTGCATATACAGCGCTGTGTGCCACGCATCACTTACTTACGGACCTGCCTAAGGTCGCGTCTGCCGTTCCCGGGTCCCTGATGTATGGAGGCGGCCGCCTCTGTTATCTATTGCCCAGATAAACACACGGGCCATCTGTGCCCAATTTCAATGAGCGTGGTTAATGGGATACACACACGCGCGCACAGAGAGCAGCTGCTGACTGGCTGCACTTAATAAATTGAATGTTCCGCGCGCTGTAACTATACTGCGTCCATGCCTGTATATGATCGTCTCGTCGAGCAACCTATTTCATCGACATATATCGTACATTTTTTCCTAAAAATTAAAAGCTGGCGACGCTTAAAATCGGAATTTTATCGCGAGTCAGGCGGCCCTCTCCACGAATTGAACGAATTTGCGCCACACATTCACGGGACACACTTGTGCCCGGATATGGATCCGTGTGTGGCCAAAAAAGTCAATCGCCCGTCACAATTTTTGTTTAAAGAATATATCGACTTTTCTTGGCAACACTTGAAATGTTCTGATGAGTTCTAGATTTGAAGCTTTCGTGACTGCAAAGGATTCATATTCTTGGGTTTTTTCGGTAAAGTCACGTAGGTAAAAATTTTAAATTAAAATTAATAAAGTAAAATAAAAATAAAATAAAAATCACGACGTTTCGGAGGCAACACAAGCTTCCGTCTTCAGGTGGAACCGTCACAGCACGATAGCTGTAATTTTTTTACCTACGTGACTTTACCGAAAAAAAACCTAAGAATAGTTCTGATGAGTGGTCGCTCGCTTCGTGATGCAATCCCATTCGCCCTTAACAGGGTCTTGTATACTTACGAAGACCCCCCATATACCCTTTAACACTGTTGGAGCGAGTGCTATTGGCGAGCACCTATGAAGACCGACATGATGCACACGGGGGGTGGTGTGGCCAGAACCACGCCCAGCCGCCTTCGATCTTCCATGCTGCTGATGGAAGCGGCAATGAAAGAACTAATTGAGGTTCCCTTCAGTTACCTCTTATCCACACTCTGGGCACACACTTGCTATGCCTTGCCAACAGTGCTCATGAAACATTCAAGTGCGTTTCTGTCATTATTTGAATTTTTCTGGAATAAGTGACAAATCAAATTTAAACACGATGACTTCTCATGCCCTGCTCTCGGAGGTGTTTGCCTGATGCGAAATCAAGATGGAATATTCGCTATTAAGTGAACGCCACATTTAATGTTCGTTTTTATCGTATAATCATTAGTGACCAGGAGATCGTGTAAACTCACGAGAATTGAGAACCCCGTTTCTAAATCACACGTGGCTGGAACTCTTCATTTCGAACCCCGGTTCTAAGCGGTGCTGGCTCCATGTCTGACAGTATTAGCCCTAATTAGGCTACCCGGTGACCTCGTGGCAGATTTTATTTTGACACTTGTGCTTATTTATTCTCTATTAAAATGCTCGTATTGTTGTGGCTTTGAAGCAGGCAAAGACTGTACTGTACAGATAAGTCCCTTTTAACTCGTTCGACTCTGTAGCTTTTGATTTCAGCAGTATGTACTGTCAAGTTTACAGAGGTTGGTATATGCCTCTGCATTAGATGGCTTATGGACATGAAACTAGCATGGATATAATCAGCTTCATTATCACTACCAGAGACCAATCGTGCTTACATTCATCACCACTATTACAATGGCATCAGTGGGACTAGCATTGTTGCAATCATTATTGACCATCATGCTTAAATAATCACCACCGCTCTCGTCATTAGATTGACTATTATCATTAGAATTTTTCAAATGCAATGCATTTTTCATGCCAAACATCGTGCAGCTCATAATTGCAACTTTGATACAAAACCGGGTGGTTCATTAAAAGCCAGAAGTTTCCTGGAATGACAGAGTGTACATGGGGAAAACTGTATTTAATTGCAGGGTTTTTTTTAAGTCTTGTAGCTTCACGGTAATGTTTCGGCTTGCCAGTCAGGCTCGTTGTGTCCGTTACAAATCGTCTGTTGTAGCAAAGGGGAGGGGATTTCACTATAAAAGGTGACCCCCACCCACGTAAATGGAATTTTTTTTTAATACAAAGTATAAATATATGGATGTCTACAACTGTAATAAAGGAATAAATAAAACATCACCAATGCACACGAAGCACAAAGGCAGGCCGCGTGCAAGTGCTGTACAACTCTTATCCGTGTTGATGTGCGGGGTAAACATCACGGATCCTATTATCTGCGATATCTGCGTTCTATTTACTTTCTGCAGAAAGAAAAAAAGTTAATTTCAAGAAATAGGATGTATTTGGAAACTAACTCCCTATTATCCACTGAACATTTACAGATAAGTGGCGCATTTTGCTGAGGTGCAAGCAAGGAATAGGGCCAGAGAAGCCCCGTGAACAACTCGCAAATGATTCGTGTGGACATGCCATGCGACTCAAACCTATCCATCAAAAATGCAGCTATGAATGATCCCGTTTGACGGCAAACCCCACGGACAATCCAAACAATAGGGGCACAAATAACAAAAGCTTTTGTGGACACAATAGCTCCCACTGATAACAGGAGTCATGGGTAATAGGGTGACGGATAAGGGTCGTGCTCGTAGGCTGCTGTGTAGAGTAGGCTGATGTGTGTTTGTCGTTCGCTGTGGACCGTGCTGTGTGGAGGTGTTAAAGGAGAAAAGTAGAATTTAGAACAATCCATTAAAAAAGGCAAAAGAGATGTATTGGGAACATGGTCAGAAAGAACAGCTTCAAAGGAAGGAAGTTTGGGAAGGAGGATATTGAGAAGGTCAAGGAGACAAAAGGACGGATGGTGCTCGACGACTTGAAGCAAGTGATGAGGGGGTGTACAGTCGAATGAATAAAGCTTAAGATCAAGCAGGATTGGTCAAGCCAAAGGCCTGTCATTGGACAGATGAGTAAAGGAGGAAATCACAAAACCCCTGACAATCATATGACATCTGTCTCTCACCCACACTCACCAAGACTCAAATCGCCGTGTAAAAAAGAAAAATCCAAAAATACAATTTCGACACCTGTAAAGTTTCCCTGAATGCCCCCTCCCCCATCCCCTTGCCGTCCGACCAATTGCCCCTACTTCGCGAGTCACAAGTCACACGGTGGCAATTCTGCAAGCGGTGGCAGAGAAGAATTCGAGTAATTAATGACCATGCTTCTGCCACCCCCAAAGTGGCAGCTGGCAAACTTGAGTGAGGAAACGGATCCCATGAAAACTAAACTAAAGAAAAAAATTTTTACCAGGTAAGGCCCACTGAGCTACATAGCTCTTTTGCAGAAGCGACCTGGCCTTAAATGATAGCTCAACGAAATTGCTTATGTGGAAATGTATAGCAGCCAAATACTTTCAAAACATAGCGACAACACATTACGGTGCTGTTTGATCATGAAGAAGGTGTTCAATCCACGCATCCATTCCCTCCCCACCCCCACCGTGGGTTTCAGAGCAAATTGAACAATCAATGTGAACATTACAAGGTCGTACACACCTCCTGGTGTGGCAGTCGATACACAATGGTGAAGTTTCTATAAAATCCCTCCACCCAGCAGAAAAGCTGGGTGCACCAAATCGATCGCCAGGTCAAATGATAGGGTCAAGCGTGGCCAGCTCCCACCTCTTCCCTAGGACAATCTAGCCAGTGTGGAGAAGTAGGCCAAATACCATCTAGGGAGGGGGCTTCCTCGGAGATCCCTCCAATGGAGGCCCTTCCACCAACAGTGGAATGGGCAGATTGTAGGGCTGCAGCTTGACACGCCAGCCAAATAAATAGAACACATTGCAGCCACGATCAATGGCCTCCCAGCCTTACAATTAAACTATGAAAAGCCACGCCCCGTTTTATTGAATGCGCATTCAATTACACGTCAATATTCACACAGCGGTCTTCATTAAGCAGCCAACCTCCTCAATGTCTTGAGAATTTACTCGCAATATAAAAACTCATTACACTTTGGGGAGACCGTGTATATAATATGTACACCGTATTGACTTAAAGAATGCCTTCATAATTCTTTACTGGCTGGTGACTTGCCGTGAGTAACTGGAGTCTTAATTTTCTCTGGCTTCCTCCCCACCACCACCGCTCTGGATATATCAACAGCGTCATCGGCACTGAACCAATCTCACCCTCTCCCGAGTATATTAAACCTCAACATGTCCCCATTATGGTGCTTTCCTCTTTAGCTACATTAAATAAAACCACATGCAAAATGCGATGCTCTCTCTGTCCATTGGGTTTTAGTACAGCAGCCTCTTGGCTTTCCAACCCTAAATTATACATCACCATTTGTTCAAGTAGGCTGTGGACCAGATTGAACATTTTAATTCACATCCGAAGTGCTGCTTATTAAACAAATTCTGCGGTATGAACATGGAATGTCTCACAACATTTGTTTATTTTAGCTGCTTTGTTTAACAAGCCCAACTCTGCTGACAAGACCCAGATTGCCAAAACCGGTTTATAATTTGATTGTTCCATTGATGCAAATCCACATTTGATATGGGTTTGGAACACCAATATGCAGAGGCCCAAACCATATCTAGTTTGTTTATGTGTGTGGCGTTCCACTTGCAATCGCTTTTACAGAACTACACTACTTTGTCGACTAAGAAAATCCTTATTTCTAATTAACCTGTTCCAAGGTTCTACAAATTCACTGGAACAGCAGTAACTTTCTTAGTTTCAAACAGCAGTATACAAGTATAAGTATCGATTGCACCCTTAAATATATGCATGGCTGAATTTCTCAAATATATTCCGGGTCATTGGTAGACTGGAGTAAGTGGCATGCAACTAGTAGCCACAGCGAGTTGGTGTTTACTAATGTAGTATGCCAGACGTGGAAACTGTTTCTCACCAACCCAGACACGGCTAAAATGAAGCCACGTGTACAAGAATTGCAGGAAAAGTGTGGTAATTCTGTATACCGAGACGTGTCTTTACAAGCGACACGGGAATTATTGTATTTACCCCCCCACCAAGAAAGGCCCAATCGCTTACATTTAGGCAACGACTATTAATTATGCATGTCTTTAATTTCTGGTAAGCCCTATGTGCAATTGAAGAGGAAATATGGTCCGTGTCCCGATTCTAGAGATCGGGAGCCCCCAGCCTTTTATTTGCAGGCGGTTAATCTTAATTCGGGTCTCGATGTCAAATCGTGGGCTGAACTGGGAGAGAGTTGGTGTCTGGTGGTGGGGCAAGTGCTTCCTGTATGGAACATGTTTTAATCCAATTGTCAAGTCGTGGCAGATTAATTTACAGACAGCATCAGCTGCCATCTCATCAAGGGTGTCTACGGAAGAAACGCATCAGCCATATGGTTTGAATTTGTAATATTTTCCATTTTAATCCCGAGTGTACGGTCTGTGCCATGAGCCAAGGAATTCCATTCGGGTCTCAGGAGTCGTGGAATCCTTCATATTTAAAAAACCGCCCACAAATGTATACCAGTGCTGCTTATGAAAATACTGCAAGTGACCTCCTGCCATAGTCGAGGGCAGCACTCTCTAACCAGTTCTGCATTCCGAGTCGCGTTTGCCTCACAATGGTCAAGCCAAATGTTCACTTGGAACTGGAACCTAACCAAAATCAAGGGCAGATCAAGTTTAAGGTGATGGTTTGTGCCGTCATCTGCTGCCGATGTTGAGAGCATCGGCTCACGCAACCGAGCACCCAGTTTAAAGTGCAGCCACGGCTATATTACACAGTGAAAGGATTTTAAAATGCCACTATAGTAATTTACCTTGTATTTTTTGTTCTTGATTCATCAGCACAATTTGGTTATGGGTTTCCGGCTTGATGGCAAGTAAAAAAAATACCGCATAGACCTAATTTGCGGCCTTTGCATTCAATTCGTTTCTCACAAAGCGGTGGATTTGGCAATCGGCGAGGCCACAATGATTAATATTCGATTCTGGGCGAAGAGAGGCATTCATCTAGGCTGCTATAGCCTATGGGAAGTGCAGCCGAGCATCACCTGGCATTGAGAGGCGTTGGGTACAATGGAATAGTTCTACAGCAGCCATCGCGAACCTGGATGTACAAAATAAATGACATGTGCGTTTCGTTGGTATTGTGCAAATGAATGCAAACATGGTGTATACGATGCAAAATAAAAAGATAAACAATCATATATAACTGAGTGAACTTTATTACAAAATACCGATTCAAGTTAATTCCTCCATCCCCCCACCCCCCCAGTAACTCTACGGAGGTAATGTATTTTACTTCATCTACTCTATTGGAACCTCCTTTGCCAGTAGAAAAATATGATAATTAGTTTCTTACCCTTAAATATGGCAACAAAACTAACACCTTTTTTACAAGGAGTCATGTTTGCATTGACCACAATACCTGCGGTCGGAATGCAAACAAAAAACACAGGTATTGTGGTCAATGCAAACATGACTCCTTGTAAAAAAAGGTGTCAGTTTTGTTGCCAGATTAAAGGGTAAAACACTAATTTTCATCTGCTCTTCTGATGGTTCTCTGCCCATGGCTGGAAGATTTGGTTTCAAAAAAGGCTCTGGGTAACCTCAGTTCCTATTGTTTACATATAAATTTGGCGTCTTAAAACCTGGCGTCATCTTCACATGGACCCCATCATCCATATCACTAACCCACGTAGACCATTACGAGGGTTAGCACAGCAAGCTGGCAAAGAGGGGAGGTTGCAAGCATTAATATGGCAGATTTAAAGCTTTCGTGACTGCAATGATTCATATTCTTTGGTTTTTTCTGGTAAAGTCACGTAGGTAAAACATATTATTTTACTTTTATTAATTTTAATTTTTTACCTACGTGACTTTACCGAAAAAACCTAAGAATATTAATATGGCAACTGGACAATTAGCCATACAAGTCAGAAAATGTATACTGGACGGAATCCGATAAGTTATAACGCTGGTTTTCATATGTCCAGCAGTTTAAAAGGCTGGCCGAGTGTAAAACTTCAAGAAAATAATTTCCGTTGAAACATTATATTGGCAAAGCACAAGAGCCAGCAACCAAGAACACGAACATTCCAGAAATGAAAACATCCTGAAAGTGCCGAAAGCCCTTGGGAAAATAAACAATGGGGAAGGGAATTCAAAGTAAAGCAGTGCAAGGGAAACAGAAAGCAGTGGTAACCTGCAGTATTGTTGTTGGACACAAAACATTCCTGCACACGTGACTTAAATTGTGGCCAGTTAGAAGCTAAACGTGTTCAGGGAGAGTTTGTCCCGTGGAAAAAAATGGTGTTTCGGCCAATTCCTTTTAAAATAAGGACGTATTTTGCAACAAATTAAGCGCAATCCAGATGAGCCAAGTTTGTGACAGCAAGTGCCGTTTCAGCAGAGCAGTCGGTACAGTCCAAGTATTCATGCGACTCAAATTGTGCCCAAGACTTAGCGCATTCCTCCCCTGCTGGCTTGGGATGCCCCGGGCTTTGCTTGTAACACGATAGCGGTGGGTGGGTACCACAGTCGACGTCTTAGAATAGCAGGGTGCAGCTGGGGGCCCAAGGTTAGGGCCACCCGAGCCAGAGGACTCAGGGTTGTCAGCCAAACACCTGCCAGAAAAAGACGGGACAAGCAGACACTAGGAAGACCTACGATGGAGGGGATGCTTTCGGCGTGCATATTGTATGCGACACCCGTTTTAAATGTGAATACCAAATACTTTACTGTATAGCGCTTTGGTAACTCACTGCTGGATGAAGGCTTTGAGGACACCGGTTCAGAACAGCAGCATACACACGGATACATGTGTAGTAATGTAGGCGATCCTAACACTCACAGCCCCATCGCCTACATACAACTACGCAGCTGTCTGCCTAGCGTAGCGACAGTGGCGGAGAGGGTCTTTCAGAAGATCAGCCATGTGGTCAGATGATGAGGGCATTACGATGGGCAGCAACGCAGCCAGGACCCAGGACTCCAAGCAGCACGGAACCTCTGGTTCGATCCTCCTTATATCTGCCCCGGCGCGGCCAAGCTCCACCTCTGGCGACGCCCCCTTCCAGAACCCTCCAGCCGGTTCCCGGAGCTTCTCGACTGACTCCGCCTTTCACCTTTACCCCAGATACGCCCCCCTTATAATAAGGCATTACGTAATGCATCCATAACCGCAATTACCACTCCAGGCCGACAGGTGTCACCCTGTCATTACACATGAAAGTTCAGTAAAATGTATATATTGCTACTACACAGGCCGCCGCCTATAGACAATCTGCTGTGGAGTGGTGATTTGTCCTGAGACTATCCAGACCAAAATTTGCGCCCGTTCCCGACTCATTCCAGGGGATTTGGTCATTGATTGAAACAATTTAAAAGTAAAGATCGAGGCGAACGTATCAATCTCTATTCCTACTCCTGGTCAAGGGGTCTTGCCTGGCAAGTTATGAACAAGAAAATGAGGGGGGTGGGGGGGGCAGATGTCGTTTAACTTTGGTTCGATACAATGAACGCTGGAAGTCCAAGGAATGCGTCGGCTTAAATTGTGTACAATTTAATGGAAGTAAACAAACAAACAAAAATGTATGAAGAGTTATGAGAAGCAAACATTTGAAGTTAAGCTTTGCAGGGGTAGCGAATTGTGAGTATGCGATTTGGAATTTTGATCAACAATGCTGACAAATTCTAGATTTGAAGCTTTCGTGACTGCAAGGATTCATATTCTTAGGTTTTTACGGTAAAGTCACGTAGGTAAAAAATTAAAATTAATAAAAGTAAAATTAAAATAAAATAAAAATCACGACGTTTCGGAGGCAACACAAGCTTCCGTCTTCAGGTGGAACCGTCACAGCACGATTGCTGTTTCAAGTAACTTACTTAAAACAGCAAGCTTGTGTTGCCTCCGAAACGTCGTGGTTTTTTATTTTATTTTACTTTAATAAATGTTTATTTGATTTTTTTACCTACGTGACTTTACCGCAAAAACCTAAGAAAATGCTGACAAATGCTCAAGCCTCGGTCACTCAGTGTCAACCATTGCAGCTACAGCAACCACAATGTTAGCGGAACCTCGCCAAGTCAATAAGGTCTTCAATGTTATGATGTGGAAACCGAACCCCTTTCCAGTCTTAGCACTCTCTCTGTTGGTTGCAAAGGGCAGGGAAAGTTATGATGCAGAGTTACCACCTCCGATCAGCACTGTTGGCTATGTACGGCACGAAGGACATTCAACGTACACAAATCTCATGTTGTCGTCGACACTGACACAGGGCAGTCTTGAAAGTAACAAATCACCCATCCATTATCACTCAGGCACCACACTTATTACGACCAGCTCTGTTCTTCAAATTCAAGGCACATGGGGTAACGCTATTCCCCATTAAGGATGTTGGTTACAGTGCAAGGGAGCAGAAACCAACAGGCCATCATCAGGGCGGCATGTTGGTCAGAAGGAAATGCAAAATGGGATCGGGGTGGACATAGGCACGACATTGTAGGCTACGCATGTGCCCCAACACACTGGAACAGCTTTCCTGCAATGCAGAGTGCACACCGCGTTAGTCTGTCAAGGCATGGACTTTGTCAATCCATTCCGGTCACATGAGAAGCTGTGAGCTGGAAAGTAAAAAAATGCATTGTAGTTACGAGGTGGGAGATGTCAAAACGGCTGCGGGGAATGCTTCTGGGTGGTCTTCAAAAGTCCTTCGAAGTGAAAAATGACCAAAGCGGAGTTTCAGCGTCAAGGAGAAGTTCTTGGAAGTGGAGGTAGCGCTTGTGTAAAAGACAGTGCTCCTTGCACCCAAGCCAAAGTCCAAGACCCGAGGACATTTGTGACGATGTGTGACGAGGGGGGGGGGTGGTTTGAGAAATGTGACGTCACGTCAAAATATGCAACTTTAAATAAATATCGACAACACGTTCTAATTAATTTAATAGACTTTTTTTTGTAAATATTTTCTCCTACAACATCAGAGTGCAGCGGCACATTAAATACGCACTACAATGGCAATAGCTTAAAGCGATTTGAAGCATGTTAAAATAAAATTTGGGGGGGGGGGCAGAGCTTTGTGACGTCATATTTGAGGGGGGGTCTGACTTTTGTGACGCCGTGTGACGAGGGGGGGGGGGGTCAAAAATCGTATAAAGTCGCGTGACGTTATTTATGGACGGCCCCCAACTAGTGTCTTGGGTTTAGAGCACTACACATGTAAAAGCATAACAGTTATGCAAGACATCCCAACATTGGCAAGGCTTTCTACCTGTACATAATAATCATACATTTCACGTCTAAAGCGCGTTTTACCCTGAGGGTCACCAAGGCGCTGCGCAGAGTTAAAAGCAAGTGAGTAAACAACTCACGCAATTCTAAAACCTAATGTAAGCACGTCGGCTCGTGATTTAACCACGGATGCAATTACCCTCCCACACTCCCAAAATCACGTAACAACATTAATCCGTAGAAACGACCTTTAAGAAAAAAAAATGTCTAAGACGGGATTTAAATAAACAGAGGGACTCGGCAGATGGAATATCGAACGGAAGTGACCACCGCAATTCTAGATTTGAAGCTTTCGTGACTGCAAGGATTCATACTCTTAGTTCTTTCGGTGAAATCACGTAGGTGAAAAATGAAATTAAAATTAATAAAAAATAAAAACAATAAAAAAAATCTGTATCAAGTTGATACAGATTTTTTTTGCTGTGACAGTTTCACCTGAAGACGGAAGCCTGTGTTGCTTCCGAAACGTCGTGATTTTATTGTTTTTATTTTTTTATTAATTTTAATTTCATTTTTTACCTACGTGACTTTACCGAAAGAACTAAGAGTATGACCACCGCAAGCTTTGGGGGCCACACGGGAAGAGGCCCCGGGGTCACCCACTGAGTGGAGGTGCGAGCACGGCACACGACAGTAGCCCAGACTCAAACGAGGGAAGACCTCGCGGTTGGGACATACGGGTGGAGAAGGTTCAAGTTCATTTATTAGGTATAGCCCTGTGAGCCATTCGGCTCTTGAATCGGGTGCAACCGCAACAAACAAACAACCAAAAACATGAACAAAAAAACATCTTAAAGGGAATATGTGACTGAGTGCAAACAGAAAATCCAAGTAAAGACAGCAAAATATTGCAGAAAAAAACCACCGTACACCAACGCTGTGTGCAAAAATCCCAGTGGGATGCAAGTCAAACA